CCCTGTTTTTCTCTCACTGTATTGTCCCTAAAAGATGGTTTGTTTTCAGCAGACAGTAAATGCTGAGGAGCCTGCTTGKATTCTTGACCTGATTTAAAGATTTTGCTTTTGGGAGGCGTGTAATCAGCCCCGCTGAGCTGGGTCATCCACCAATACGGTGGGTCATCATCAGCCTTTCAGACGGGCAATCACTGGGGACGCCTGTTGAGTATTTGTAAAATATTACAGAGGGGAAATTACTCTGCTCAGAAGTAGAAGTTAATCTTTTAAYGTGGTCAGCCCAATAATTAGTTTTTTTTAAACTGTTTAAATGTTCACAATTTGTCTGCCAATGTGCTTTTAGAGATGTRGTTGTTGWTATGTTCTGTCTGGTTTCATGTTTTATTTTGACTTTATTCTGATWTTCTGTCATGTCCCTCTGTTTTCCTCGGCCCCGCCCACTCACACCTGATATTCATGTTTCTTCCCCAGGTGTTTCTTGTTTTAGCTCATTAGTTCTCCCATTATATTCTGTCCTTTGTCCTCAGTCTTTGTCAGATCCTTGTACACTGTTTACTGTTGATGTCTTGCCAAGCCAAATTAAGTATCTTGTTTGCCGCCATGTCAGCGCTTTTTTTTTCTTTAATAAACCTTTTTTGCCACCCTCTCTCGGTCCTGCATCTTGGGGTTCTAAATCAACCAAGCTCAATCGTAACAGTTGTCCTTCATTTTTTTTGTTTGTAACAGAGTCTGTTAACAAATGTCTAAAAAAATCACTTGTTACTGTTTTCTTTTTCGAAATCAAGCAGATTGTAACATGTATGACTAAATAAACAGTTTTATTTATGAGGAAAAACCATAAAGCCTGGTTTCAGAYATCAATATCTCAGGGTTCTCTTCTACACGGGTCCCTACAGGTGGAAGATAGCTCAGGGAGGTGAAGGTAGTGTACATGTCTGAGAGAGAGAAAGGTATTGAAGGTGGAGTTTAGAGTCAATCATATTAAGTTGATGAAGAGGGTCAGGCAGGGTGGAGTAGATGAAGATGAGAGTCAAGAGAGATTTGTGACGAAGGCTTAGCTGCAGAAGTGAAAGGGAAGATTTACAAGRCGGTAGAAGCAAAAGTGAGAAGGTTGAACGTGTGCAGAGGGCAGACAGTGGATGTACTGGATAAACGACTGGTGTGACAGAGGAGAAGTTTAAGATGGAAGCAATGGCCTCATGCAAGAACTGTTCATACGCACAGATTTGTTCTTAATTTGTGCGTACGAGTGATTGAGAATTTGTGACATTCCCCAATGTTTTCGTATTCTAAGATTTTCTTCAGATACGAACAAAATTCACGAGNTTGTACGAACAAAAGTAAGAGAAATTTCGGATAGGAATACAAACATGTTCTTGCATGAGGCCCAATGATCTGCTTTGATGCCTCCTAATGGAATCAATGGAAAGACAATCAGTCAAACCCTACAGTACTCAGAACTGTGTTAAAGACCTCTACAGACCTCTGTGCTTTTCTAAGGCTTGCTGTTTGCAGACTGGCTGCATTAATATTATTTAGCGCCATAAACGTTCMTACCACTTCGCCTCAACCTTAGCAGATTCATGACTAAAGCGCCGTGGAGTCTGAGAGAAGCAAACTGGGTGTGTGAGGCAAGTCTCATGGCTAAAAAATCCGAGGAGGGGTCCGCCACAGTTTCTGATCACTTCCAGCCTCAGACATGGCACGCACACACAGACACACAATTTTGGATATGAACATCATCATCAGTGTAATTCTCCATCTCCTCATCATCTTTAGTTACRTTCACATCCTGTGGGTTCTGACAGGCCCGAGCAGCCACCGCAGGTCATCGGCGGTTAATCTCCTCCACATTCGGTCGCCATGCAGAAGTCTCTGTCATGACCCGTGGGAGTGGCGACTCACACCATCCATGACCCGCCAGCACAATGTGCGTTTTGTCTGAGCCACACCGTCGCTGCTACTCTCCATGCATTCCAGTCCTCCGTGTGGTCGACAGGGGGGAGGAGAGAGCCCTGCTGCAGGAGACAAATTAATATCCTCGTCATCTTCCCCCACTTGTACCCGCTTTTTTTTTCCTCCTGACCCCCCATCAAAAAAAAGCCCCTCCGCTCCTTCATGTAAGAGCACAAGACACCTGCCTCACAGCTGTCGGCCTCACGCTCCTAATTTCAGTCTTTTCATATTTCCCAAACTCTGAGTTACAAATCTGTCGTTTCCTTCACAACCCGCCTCGTCTTTTCCTCGCTTTTCTTATCGCTCCACAACACTTTTCTCTTCTTCCACTTTCTCTTCTTTCCAGTTTGTTCTTCGCATTTTTTTATTTATGTCTTTTCAGTTTAAACTCTTCATTCTCCAACTCTAAACACTTTGAGTACAGGTGAAATCTACTGTTGACCACAGCTTAGAAACATTTATTGCTCTGCTGTGAGCTGTTGTCTCTTGTTGTGAAGCTGTAACGAGAAAAGGTCAAAAATTGCTCAAAAGAAAAGCCAAAACTTTGATACTTCAGTCACGCACGCACACACACACACACACACACAGACGAGCCACATCTGTTTGCAATCACGTACGAGGTGATATCATAGCTGTTGGAACACCGGGCCGAGCAGAGGTGCGCTTGTTGCGTGACCTTCTGAGGAGGCTCACTGGGGCATGTTTGCGTCCTCCAGACCTTAAGTCGTAGCGGGCCGACGGGACCCTTGGCTTCGCAGGGAGCCTGTCAGAGTGCTGCGCCTTACAGCCTGCAGGGTTTTAGCCTCTGACCTGAACAACCCAGTGCCCGTGATRTTACAAAGAAATAACTTTCAGCTATGGTTAGCTACAATGTCAGCGTCGTCAAAACAGTGAAGGTGTGTTTACGGTCAAATTAGGTGATGAAGAGAGGTTAAAGGAACGGCATGATCGTTTTGGAGGGGTGTGTAGATGTTATAAAATAGAAAATAACAGTGAAGGTAGCTTTTTGAATGACCGCACCAAACTGGTGCCACTYTTTRAGCTTTTAATTCATTGTCAGGATTTCCTCCAGACTTATTCAAGCCCCTTCATAAAATAAGGTTAGGGAAACTCTAGAAACTCTCTGTCCAAATCCAAAAATATGCATTTTCTTTGAAGTTTTTTTTTTTTGCAATGTCTTTGTCTTAAAAATCTACATCACTCATTTTCTCCAAACAATAAAGAGAATAACTTTTCTACAGAACACCACTTTTAAATAGCCAAAATATACCTTTAAATCCCTTGTAGTTTCAGGCAGACTGGTTTAAATGTGCAAAAATAACAATAAAGCACATTTATGCAAACTCTTTGTTTTTTACCTTTGCATCTTATCTAATATATAACAATAATCTGCTCTCACTTAACTGGTTTTCTTTCAATGATTTAGGGGGATTTTTACTGCACCCCATCAGTGGACCGATTTCTGACAGAGGGGGCCCACATATTCCAGCGACCCACCACCCACAGTGTTAGAAGAAGACAAAGCGTGAAACAGAGGGAGACGAAGGAGGTGGAAAACACTGAAAAGAGACTTAAAGCAAAAAAAAAAAAAAAAAAGAGGTGGAGGAGGGTTTGGGACCAGCAAAATCCTGACTGTGCCGTCAGAGGAGGCAGCGCGGGGGGAACACTCAGGACCCCCGAAGGGCCCAACAGCAGCTGCAGGAGCCTCACACGGACATGTTGGGCCTCCTGCAGCGCCGCATGGGAGGCAGACAAAACACGCTACGAGCCAGATGACTTCACTTTTTCCAACAAAGGAAAACAAAACAGTCATAAAATGTTTTCTGACTTTTTTTGTTTGTTTGTTTTTCAGGTTAGTTAGAAATAAACAACCTGAACAAAACTTTTGTACACTTTACTTTCAAAAGACCCAAAATACAACATAATCTAACATCATAAAAAATTCGACCAAAAATACAGCAGACTTGAGGCACCACATGCAGTATTTAAAAAAAGGGGGATTATTATGTAAAGTCGACTTTTTTGAGCTTTATGCTATGATGTCATTCACTCATCAAAAACATACAGTGTTGCTTTGATTCCTTCATGCAGGTTTGAAAAATGCCATGTGAAGCTGCCTAAACACTTGCTGGTACAAAGCTCCGCCTATTCRCACAAAGCTCCTCCCTGGAGCACAGTCTGCAGCTGAGTGAAGATGTAGCGGGAGTGTCCGAAATGGTAGGAGGTTCTTAAAGAGACAGAGTCCAATTTCAAGGCGTTTATGATGCAAAGTCAAATTTATTTTTGATAAATACAACTTTTTCATAACTGAATGTAACAGTTACTTGATTGTGTTACAGGACTGAACTATGTGCCTGGAAAATACACAATGCCCACTTTAATATATTTTTAATCATTATTTTCTGCTTTTGTCTCACACTTCCTGTTCGTACACCAACAAAGATTTTTTAATTGCATTTTGTATGGTGGAGATGAGCAAACAAATGCAGATTTTGACACAGGAGTTTGTATCAATAAGAAGTGATTTTCTCAAATCTGGGTCTGCATCCAGAATTATTGTTTGATTTAAATCAGAGGCAAACAGTTTACTTTCTTATCTGATATCATTCTTCTCCTTCAACACGCTTCAAACCCACAAACCAAGCAGAAATTATTTATTAGATGAACGGAGAAAATAGTTTGTCAAACTTTTATTTAAACTACAGGATCCAGCTTCTTCCATTAACTATGTTTTATAGAAGGACGATTGGAAAAGAGAAGTTTGAAGAGATAAAATCTCATCCACCCGACTAAACGATCAAACTGCCTCGTGCAGAAAACCAACACCCCACTGTGTCGCACTTAGACTGATTAATTGTGAAAGTGTGAGAGATTAGAGGAGGCACATCCCAGGGTTGCTGCTAATGGATTTAATATTCATGAGCCCCTAATAAGGAGGGGGGAGGCAAGTGGGATCTAATTTATCCTGCCGTCTGTTTGTACTCAGGGTGGGAAAATATTGAAACAGCCCAACTAAAAGCACTAAAAAAAATCCTCGTTGCATTAATTCAGGTTTGCACCACATTCTCCACATGTCTAAAGAGAAACGTCCTCACAGTTTCTACATGTGTGGGTCAGAACGTCTGAGCTGTACTCACCGGATGGCTCCTCTGTGATGCTGGAGGGAGTCGTAGGAGGAGAAACTGGAATCTCTTCTCCGAAACAAAACAAGACAGACAGAAAAAGATCAGTTTCCTGTCGTTGCTGTGTTACAAACAAATGTGCACATTTATTAACGAAGAAATAAGTATGAATGCACTGGTGTACGAGGCACAGGCTGGTTAACAGATGAGATTGTTTTATTTTCACAATGCAGTCTGTTACAAATTTGCTATGTAAGTTTTATTTATTTTTATTTTTGCTTGGTGCATTAACTATACAGTGAGTCTCACTTGGTGTATAAATAATATACTGAGAAAGTGTTGGGAAAGTAATGATAATGTGGAAGCCAAGATGAAAATAAAAATTATTTTTAAGCTTCAACGAAGTTCAAACTTGTTGGTTTTCTGCTGCTTTTTATCAATATTATCTTAAATAATATGATGGTTTTGCTTGAAATGACAGGATAAGTGCTACAGCTAGCTGCTGTCTCCACTTTTTGCACTCACAAATAACCATCAAATTCTTGTAAATGATCCAATTTAGCAAAATGTTTAAAATATGGTGTTTATATAAACCGTTATGGATTTTGTTTTAAATTAGCATTAATTTCTAACAGCAATGCTACACTTTGTTCTTGGCAGCGATCAGACTAGCCATTTGCTTGTCAGTCTGGTCACACTCTATTTTTAGATATTCAACCCTAACTCAGCCGTAAGTCCTTTAAAGAGGTATTTACATAAGCATTCCTCGAAATCTGAACTGTTCTTTATTTCATTTTAGTTTCTTTACAAAAATAAACCAGACTTCAGCTTGAATCCAGTTCTTGTGCACATTATAGTGTTTCTGTTGCTTATCTTTCCAGGAATCTGGATCATCCTCTGCTTAATATTAAATCAGGTTTCTCAGAGTGCTGCATCATTGTTGTGCAGATTCTTGGTGTTGTTATCTGATTCCAGCTGATCTTTCTTTATTTTATCCTCCCTTGTATCGTAGTACAGAGGAGCTGTTAGCAGTAAAGACTTGATTCTCTCAGCTCCTCCGTCACTCTCTGCTATAATAAAATGAAAAGTGGAGAAGACGCTGGCCCACTCCAGGAGGAGTTACAAAATATTCAACACGTCCACAATATCTTTTCTTGGTGTGGTGGTTAGGGAGATGGTTTAAAAAGCAGCGCAGGGCGGATGAGGACAACATTTTAAAGCACAGAAACATGCAAAGAAAAAGGTAGAAAGCAGGGGCGTGTTTGTGTCAGAGAGGTGATAAAAGAAACCATCTTGTTGTTTTTCATCTTGTAAAAACCCAATTTTTTACAGCGGTTGCAACGTGCCTCCAACTTTCCAAGTTTATTACGTTTATATGAGATTCTGTGAAACGATGCTGATGTTTACTTGATGACAAGGAAACAATCGCTGCCAGAATCCTGATGCTGGAAGCCCAGAGGTGCTGATGCTGTTAGCAATTAACAGGCTTCCATCAACTATCAGCTGCTGAGCGATATTCAGACTGTTTCTCGTTATTGCTTTGTGTAAAATCCTGCCTCACAATGCAGAGAAGTCTACATAATATGATGCCTTTTCTAGTTTTATTTTAATAAAACTGGGAAAACTGTTAGAACAACAAGCATTTGTTTTATTTATTGCAGTCGCCACTTTAAACAGCAGTTCCTTTAGACATATCAAAAATCCTTTTTCAGGTCATTTCATTTTTATTTGAACTTTAAGAAGAATTTCATTCTTAGTACCCTAAAACAGTAGTATAAAATTACTTTCCCCCCTCTAAATTTGGGCCTACTATTAGAAATACTAATAGTGTGAACGCTGAGTCAGCATTTAGGCTGTCCCAAGTCTCAGCTCCTGTTATTTGTGGGTTCAAAGATACTGATCTTCGATGGTCTCCCCTCACATTTACGAAGCTCCAAACCCTGAGGTTTAATGTTCTTTTGCAGATTAGATCAGAAAACTGACAGTTTAAATGGAAAAAAAAAACTGTTTCCACATACTTATGCAGGGGGCAATGGGCGAGCGGCTCTGCTGGTAGCCTTTAGCACAGCGGTTGCACATGACACCAGCCACGCCGTCTTTACAGGGACATTGTCCTGTGGTTTGGTTACAGGTTTTGCCAGCGGCCCCCACGGGATGGCAATCACATGCTGCGAGGAAACAGAGGAAGAAAGAGAGGCAGAGTGAGTGAGCGGTCACACGTGAGGACACACAAACATGTGCTGTCTGAAGAGAGTGCAGGTGGGCACACAGCAGCAGGGTGGCAACAATACCGAGGCGGTGACAGACAGGTGGAGGTGTGTGCACAGAGACAGAACGTCCTCAGGTCCGATGCAACAACACGACACTCGTTCTGAAACTAGAGTCCCTTCATGACTAAAAGTTCAACACATCCTATAAAAACAGAAGCTGTGTGGTGACGTCAGGGACATTTTTTTTCTTTTCAATGATGAAAGTTACAAGATCGAGGTGTATGCTTACAGGTAAGAGCAGAACATGGGTTAGGACACCCCAGACAGGTCCCAAGTCCATCACAGGACACAGAGACGAACAAATCAATCATTAACACTTTCACCGGGGTTCCCAGAATTTCAGGAAAAAAATAAATAAATAAAAAATACTGAGTTTTCCCAGTCCAGGTTTTCCCTCATTTCCAGTGTCGCTGAAAACCCTGTCTCACCCACACCTCATGACAATTTTACAGTTACCAATTAAACTGCCATGYGTGTAATTTGTTTGTGGTAGAAAATTGGAGAAAACCCACTTGTGCAAAGGCAGAACATGCAAACTTCACCTAGAAAGACACTAGGCCAGGAGGAGATTCTGCAACCTTCCCACTGAGAGGCAACTAGGGCCGCCCGATATCAGGAAAAACTGAAATTTCTGACGGTCATTGAAGGTGTGTGTATATATATATATACACTATCAAATATTTCAAGCTTCTGTGTGATGGACAAAATGCATGAATACAAATATGTGAGACAAACATTTAGTGCAGTTTATGCAGTGTTTTGCGATATGCTTATTGCACAGGCTGTTGACGATATGACGATAAATTTTCAAAAATATTGAGCAGCTCTAGAGACAGCAGCTCTACTACTCAGGGGTGTATTTGTCTTGGCAGAAAATCCAATCTGTTTCTTAGTATCAGTTTATTGCAAAAGGTATTTTGTTTTCCCAAACAAATTGAATCTCAATTTTCTCCTCTAACCACTGCTTTTGTCATGGCTCTTAGTTCTGCATCGCCTTTTGGAAACAATAGAACAGCAGGTTACATTTGTGTAGCCTATTACAGAGCATGAGATAACTATTTAGCTGATTTTATGGAGGAATATCAACTTTTTACAGAAATCAAACAATATAAACTAACAACCAAAGCTTGCTGTCCAAAAATGATGGCTAGATCACTTTATTCTCAGAATGAGACTCTTTCTGTTGCTGCTCGTGTGAAAACTGAAGCATCTCCAGGATAATCATGAAGAGAAATGTGTCTGTTCGGGATGTTAAAGAGATCGACACGGGTTTCTTGTATTTGAGCTCGCTGCAGCTGATGTGTGTGAGCTGAGGAAAAAAAGCTTATATGTTTACCCAATGATAGAAGTAATGAAGGATAATCCTAATCGCCTGTTTCTGATTAATGTCAGGCTTTGAACGTGAGCCCAAAACGTCTTTCACTCTTCCTCGAAGAACTGAGGGGGTCTATCAAACACACATGCTTTAGGAATGTAATCATTTTTCAATTGCACACCCCCCCGATCCAAAGCCTTCATTTACATCACAGCCAAAGCAGTCAGGTTTGAAAGCATTGAATTTTTTCTCTTAATCTTTTTTGGAGTGCTATAAATAACTCTTAGTCCTCCTCGTAGGCTGTAAGGTCAATTTAAACCAGAACAAATTTTAAAATCCATCACCTTTTTCTCCTATAAAGCACAAAAAAAGTTACCAAACTCTCCCCACTTCATTTCTCAACCACTAAGTGTTTTATTTTTCATTTATTTCTCATGATGTTCTAGTTTTCAGCCTGAAGGAGGGACCAGTCGTGCTCACTCGACGTCCCTGACTGTAAGCTTGTCTCCTGCGTTGTGTCACGCGTCACTCTCGGAGCCTTCAAAGGTGCAGCCAATTCAAAGCTCTTTGAGGTTTGTGGGAATATTTAGTGGTTTCGTGATTTTATTTTGCTTTTAACCACCAGACTAAAGCACATATGAGTTCATTTTATTCCACTGCACGGAAATTAGCCTTTAATGTGCATTAACGTCAAAAGGAATTAATGTTGAAGCCTCTCCACACCCTGAAAACCTGAGGTTCAATTTCTTTCATTTATCTTTATTGGCTGTTTCCTATGTTTCAGCTCCTGTTGCTGCTCTTATCAGTCCTTTGTGTGAGTGCGCTGTTCTCCCCTCTTATCAGGCTCATTAGAGTCCTCCCTGAAAGTGTTTGCGCCTACAAGTGCCCACATCAAACCAATCTGTCAGCGCTTTCGTTGCTTTCAGTCAGGGGGACAGAGCAAACACACGTGAGCCCATCTCTGAGGAAGCCCTCTAAGCGGCGCGAAGGCCGGTCAGGCACGTCTGCAGGCCTGTAAATCCTGAAGGATGTCAGACAAGCTCGAGGGCAACGTGAGTTTGTGCTCRAAGCTTCAGAGAGGTTTTTAAGAGCGTGGGCCCGTAACCCTGGCGCTCAGCCGCTAGCCTGCTAGTAAATCAGAAAAAGCAGAGCACATGGTGTGCAGGTGGGATACACTCCTCCTCCTCCTCTTCAGATTTGGCCCTTCATGTTGAACTGAAGGCTGAATGACTTGTTGTCCGGTCGGATGACAGATCGGTCCACTCTCTGCATGAATGACCCACTTGCTGAGTTGAAGACCGGCACACTCCGGTGGTGTGAGTGAGAGTTTAAAGTGTGTCCACTTAAACTACTAAGTGGCATCACAACTACTGCTCCAGATGGATCAGGGAGATAAGACGAKGTCCTTTCTGACTCATAATGTAAATACAAGAAAAATGTGTTTGAATAGAGCCTGTGCAGCTTACATCAGAGACATCCTGTGTTTATCACTTCTTATTAGTTTAACAGGATGTTGCTTAACTTCTGTTAAAAGTGGRAAATATTCCCCTAAAACTTTCTAAATGCTCAGAGGGACAAACAAAGTCTACAAAAGAGGTCTGCTGGGTACATCGTTACTACCAGTGGATGGTTTAGTGAAGTCTTCAGCCATGGCCCTGGTGGAGCACAGAGAAGATGATAAAACTTGATTTTCTTGAGGAAGTATAGGTAATAAAGTTCCTGGCRTGGTCTCGAGATCATGGCTGCCTCCTCTAGTTTGGGACTATATCCACCACATGCACCTCCTCGTGTCCCTCCGACTGCCTTTATCCTGAAAATGAGCCATACTTGAATGAATCCTGGGATACAGGACGGAAACTCAGATGCAGCCTTCATTTTCAGGGTTTTGTGGGCGGCATTTGCCTGCCGCACAAAAAGGAGCCCAAGTATTGGGACAGCCTTTGACGAGGGGCAGTGATGTAAGCAGTTGACAAATGCAGACGTTGAAGGCCCTGTCACACTATAAAGTTTTAGACATCTTATGCCAACTTTTGAAAAATTTGTCCAATACTAAAGATGTCAAGGCCTAAGATAGAATAAAAAAATCGACTGAAGCTTCTTTTGGAAATAAAGATACTGTACTGCTAACGGTTATATCAAATATTTAGATGATATGAGCAAAATAATGATTACAAAATGTTCACAATTTGGCACAAGTTGTCTAAAACAATGGTTCCCAAACTTTTCAGCTTTTGATCCTCAAAAAACCAGTAGCAGAAGCAGAGACCTGAGCCCCCAACTCTTGTTGGATGATAAACATTGTTGTTATTTCAAAAGAAACAAGAGCATATAACAATATTCATTATTCTGTTTTTGTCCATCTTTAAGTACATTAGCCTTTTGTAACAGCAAAGGGAAAAACAATTGCTGTTAGTTGTTATTTTCTACTACAATTAATTCTGAATTTTTTTTTCAGGTCCCCACCTTGATGTTTTGGGACCCCATTGTGGGTCCTGACCCCAACTTTGTCGTCTAAAACTTTATAGTGTGACAGGATCTTGAAATTGAGACAGCCTATGTGTGCCAACATTATGCTAAATGCATATAGGTGAATGTATTACATAACAAATTACCATCCGTTATGGCCGAAAAAACAGTTTTAAAAATAAAGTCACTGCAAGTGCTCTACATCAGTGGTTCCTAAAACTAGGTTTGAAACACAAACTGGGGGGTCTCAAGATTTGCAGAAAATAAATTTAACTTTATAAATGAATGTCAAAGCCAAATTTAGCCTGAAATGTTACAAAACGATAAACCTAGTAGTCAGAAATGGATAAAAACTAATAAAAACATTGATAATCCTCTGTTAAATGCCTTATTAGCAATGTTTGTACATGTCAGCTAGCAAGAGTCTGTGTCTCAGGCTTTTATTTTGTGGGTAGAGAGCTGAAAAGTTTAGGAACCGCTGCTCTATAGAATAAAAACTGTCAACACCAATCTCATTTGGCCAATTTATTCATGCGTAACTATAACTTTAAAGCTTCAGCTGCCAGAAGTTGCATATGAAAGCATGAAGAATGGGGAACATAGTTGGTTGTAAGGCCTGGCAGTTTGGTCTGAGTTTGAGATTTCACAATGTGCCTATCGTCTGAAGTCTGAACCAAGCTCCCCAGTTCTGCACACTGTGCCAGTAGAAATAATTTGATGGCCCTGGAGTGCAGCCAATCCACCCAAGTCTGTGTTCTATTATAATTAGATTTCTGCTCCTCCTGAAGAATCTTTGGAGTGCAAAAGCACAACTAAACAGCTCTCTAAATGACACATTTACCTAACGCAGAGTGGGCTTGGCATCTTTGATCTCCTCCATGTTTTATTGATGAGTAATTGCCTGCAAGAGTCATGTTTAGCCACCAAGTGGGCGTATAATGGTGGATATATGCTTTTTGTGAGGCATGTTAAAAATGCAAAAACACATCAAGCACATGTGCGTTCCTAATTGAAAACACGTCGATATCAGCACACCCACTGGAAATAAAACGGTATAAGTGAAGTCTTGAGGAGCAATAATTGTCAAATTCCAAGAAAAGGAGAAAGACATCTTATG